GTCCCATCCTGTCTGCGGGGCGAGAGCCGGTCCCGGGCCGACCGTGCGCCCGGGGAGTTTGTCTCCGACGCCTCGGGGTGCGGCAGCCGGAGGTCTAAGCGCAGGTACGTCCAGGTCCCGGAGCCGGAATGACTCAGGCCCAGAGCACGTGGCAAATGGCGACCAGAGGGCCCCCGGGCGCCGGCTTGTGCAAAGGCCGGAATCTGCCTCTAATGAAAGGAAATGCACATTCCCGGGCCCGTCGGGCGGAACGGCTGCTTCTGATGGGTTTCAGACTTGGGGGGAAAAAAACCACAACCGCTGAGATCCCGGGGTATTGAGGAAAGGAGTGCAGGAAACCGGAGAGAACCCTGTAAAAATCCCCAAGGCGCCCTTTCCTGTGCCCTTTTAAGGTTGACTCGGTACCTTAAGAGGCTAACACAGAAGGGTAAATAAAGTGAGTCTCCATAAAACCCAGAGAAGAGATGGTAAAACTCTTCTTTGGATCCTGTCTGGAGTCACAGCTAAACCAGAAGAACGTTTCCTTTCGGTTTGAGCACCTTTGTGTTATTTTTACACAGTCAATAGCAAACTGATAAATTTAAACTTAGCTTTGTTGATGTCTTCAGGCATGCTTTTTAAACTCTGGGGATACCATCTAGTATTCTCAGGTAGATAAGGGAACTTGGATACTTGGTTATCTTTGAAAGTGGAAAAAAATCCAGATGATGGGACACGTGTATACAAGACTGTTTCTGGACATCATGTGAGACAAATTGAGAAGAATGTATCTCAAAGGTTTCTTTCTGCTTAAATAGGCATGCAAAACCTTTTTTTTTCTTGTAGGTTGAAAACTACAGGTACAAGCCATTGACTCTGGAACCCTGTGATGCTGGTATTTTAACTGACTGACTCCAACTTTCACACTACAGTTCACAATAAGCAAGTTCCTTTTAATGAGGTCAGACGTCCTTCGATAACTTGTAGCAACCATGTGTCCTGCACCGGCACAGAAGTTAGAGCAGTGGCACAGTGCTGGTGGTGAGAGGGCAGCGTAGTGGGTGCTTTATTTTCATCTTTTCATTTCTCACAACTCAGTGAAGTCAGTACTCTCATTTTGCAGGTGAAGCAACATCAAGCCCCCCCCTTCCCAGGACTCTGGGCCACCCCTATATCCAGTCTTAGTCAAGAATTAGAAGAAAGGATCCCCCATGTCCCACCTCCAACCTATGTGGAAAGGACCTTCCCCCATTCTCTTAAAGTTCCCGAAGCAGATCCCCAACTGCCAAATTCCGAGAGAGAGTTCTTGGCGCAAGTGCAAAGATTAGGTTTAAATGAATGTAGCCTAATGTAAGCAGGAATAGAAAGGGCACGATGGTGCTAAATAGAATAGGAAGGTGCTGGAGGTGATGGGGAAAGTTTTCAGGATGAATGCAGCCCAGTATGTGCTGGAAGTTCCTGTTGCTCAGCTCAATGTCTACCTCATTTCCTGAAATCGTAAATAAAGGTATTTAATATTCACCTTGGAGTCATTCTTAATGCTTATTTCATATAAAAAAAACTTAGTTTTTTTATATTCCATGTTCTGTAAAATCCAGACTTATAACTTCTCTAGGTAATTTATTCAGCATCTGTGTTAGAGGGAGAAGTGGGGAAGGGAACGGGAAAGTGCTCGTGTGTGCCCTGGGAGCGGAGGAGTTTCAGACGCCTGGCCAGGGAAAAACCACACAGAAGACCCCAAGGACCTGACATGCTGTGATGAGAGTATTTCATATTTATCTCTTTGTAATTTCTTGTTTGTTCATTGTTTATAGTCTATTTTGGTTCAAAAAGAATTTGAGTGTAGTTTATAAGAATATTACAATAAGAGTTTAAAAACAGGAAATTGGAGTATAGGGAAGATAAGGTCAAGTCCAGCCCTGGCCAGTGTGGCTCAGTTGGTTGGAGAGTCAAAAGGTGGTGGGTTGGATCCTTGGTCCGGCTGCATGCAGGAGGCCACCAATCAGTGTTTTTCCCTTTTTCACTCAAAGCCCAGGGCTAGAACACAAAATATAGTCCATTAGGTTCTGTACATTTGCTAGAGGAAGGTCAGAAATTTTGCTCTGAGCTCCCTGACAGTCAATGTAAAAATCAGAAATAGAAATAAAGGGGACACTCAAGAGAAAGATAAATAATCCTGAAAGAAATTTACGCCTTGGATCTTCATAAAGGAGGCACTGCAACCAACCTCAATATCAGGAACCTGAAAAGAATACTTTTAAACTGTCATGGTTCCAAGGGTGTGTTTTTTTTTTTTTTAAATATATCTTTATTGATTTCAGAGAGGAAAGGAGAGAGAGAGAAAGCTAGAAACATCAATGATGAGAGTCATTGATCGAGCCCATAACCCGGGCATGTGCCCTGACCGGGAATTGAACCGTGATCGCCTGGATCCTAGGTCGACACTCAACTGCTGAGCCATGCCCGACTGGGCCGTTGCAAGGTTTTTGATGCTCAGGCAGAGTACTTCCTAGCCAGGCTGATTTAGCATGCTTAAACTCAAGACAATTTCCCCCTGTCCTAGTTATATGGCAAGCGGGTTATGAATCAGTATGGCCACATGACATTGAGAAAAAAGCCATTCTGAGTATAAAGCAGGTAGGCCACACTTTACTGCAATGATGAAATTAGAGACTGAAAACAGATGGTATGCTCCCATAAGAAAGGTTTGATAATTTGGGTTAATTCCCTGGTCAAAGGTTTTTCATTAAGTGTTTTATATATAAAATTACAAGATGATAAAAGTTAGATTGGGTTCTGAAGCCCTCCATAGGGAGTCCACAATAAAATGTTAATTCCAACACAACACATCAAAGTACACATTTATTTTGATGTGTAGTTGCTTAGATTATCAAATGAATAGTTAATAATTTTATCTTCTTAAAGTGGCTTTTGAGGAAATAATTTGAACAGTTTTTCTGTTTTTAAAAAATGACTGAGGAACTTTGAGCCCGGTGCCTTTGTGCTGTGCCCGTTAATTTCTCCAGGTGAATGGAAGTGTTCTAGATTCCTCCTCTGCCCTTTTCCCACTGACACGATAAAAACGAAGGTGCCTGCGCCTAGCATTTGCCCTTTAATCTCGCCCTAACACTTAAGCTGCAATGGGAATTTTTGGAATCAAATCAAATCAAGATAATCAAGAAACCTTAAGTTCCTTCATTTTTAGAACTCATCATGAAAATGACCAAATATGCACAGAGATAGAATTCAGTAAGGCCCTGGGTGTTTACCTCCCAGCCCACAAGCAACCAAAAGCACTTATTTTGAATATTCCGTCCAGCTGCCTTTTTTTTGTCAAAGTATTTTAAAGAAAACCCAACATATATTTCACCACTAACTATTTCAGTATTCATCTCCATAGGAAAGACCACCATACCTGGCAAAAATGCCAGTAGGACTGCTAAGGAAATAATTTCAAATCCATACTCAGCGTCCCCCATTGTCTAAAATGCCCGCTTTACAGCCGAGTCATTCAGACCGGATCTCCTCAGCGTATTGAGTTGTCTCCTAAGTTTCTTGTAAGCTTCTTTTAGTCCAGAAAAAAGTGCCCTTATCACCATTATCATTTTCACTCCAAACAGAAACTCGGACCTATTAACCATCACTTCCCACCTTCCCCACATCCTCTGGCAACCACTAACCTACTTTCTGTCTCTGGATTTGCCTATTCTAGACATTTTGTGTAAACAGAATTACACACAAGGGGTGTGTGTGTATGTGTGTGCGTGCGCGCGTGCGTGCACCTGGCTTTTTAAACAGCATAATATTTTCAATGCCCAACAAATGAGTAATACTATGTAGTGCCGGGATATCCTTCCTTTTTATGGCTGAATGATAGCTCATTGATTGGATATATTGAATTTTGTTTATCCATTTAACAGTTGACTTTTGGGAAGAAACCATGTCCGTTGTCCTATAGAGTGTTTCGCAAGCTGGCTGATCCCTTACTCCTGATGTTTCATTTGTTTCTCTATCTATTCTTCTCATAGACTTGAGAGAAACCCCACATTCTTAAAAGCTTGGTTGTCACACTTTAGGGTGTGGAAGAACCACCTGGCACACTTGTTAAAGGTGCAGAATTTTAGGCTCCATCACTGGAGAGTTTGATTTAGTAGACTCCAGAGGGGGCCCAGGAATCTATTTTCAATACATCAGTTAATTCTAATGCAAGTATTTCCAGAAGACATTTTGAGAAACTCTTTGTCCTTAAACCTGGATTTTATTGGCACTTAACAATTCATAGGAAAGCCATAAGAGCAACTGGTAGGTCATTGCCTAAGACTTGTAAAATATAAAGTTAGAAATATTACTTACAGAATTACTGAAAGGGGTCTAAATTAATACTCTGGATGATGTCTTCTGGATTGGAGACAGACATCTGAAGGAATTAAGGGTTGCCCGGCCTGGTAGGTCAATGGGTTGGAGTTTCATTCCAATACGCCAAGGTTCCACAGCTGATCAATTCTAGATTAGGGCACATGCAGGAATTGACCAATGAATGCAACAAATTGATATCTCTCTCAAATCAATAAATTAAAACATTTTTTTTTTTTAAAAAAAACAAGGAATGATGGCCAAGAGAATTGTGTGTTGTGTGGCGGATGCTACTTAGTTACCTTGGAGTCAGTGAAGTAGCCACATTTAGCTTTAAAGGCAATGAAGCCAAATAGTCCCTGTGGATTAAGTTACTGCACAGATCTTCACAGTATTGATCTCAAAATTTACAGATGCACTGAGATTAATTAATTACAGTACTTTTGGGTTCCGGAAATTTTAATTCTTAATCCGAAGCTATTTTATTTTAGGTGACCAAGAACAAAGTAAGTTATATTCTTAAGAGAGCAATCCTTTTACTCTAGAAATATGCTACAACAAAATAGAACCATTTTTGCTTCAGCACTTTTTCATTATATTTTCCATTATCTAGGGTATTTTATAACACTAAGAACTCAGGAGTAGAAAGAGTTGTTTTCCCTTAATTTAATGACAAGAGTTTGCTTTCACTTAATAGATGAGTGATGCTTTTAAGGGTCTTTTAATGGTGTCAGAGCAGCCAGAGCTGCAAATGGAGTTCCATTTACTCTGTGTGCCTCTTTAAGCCATCACAGAAGAGGGTAATGTGGTCAAAATTAAAAACCGTCAGTGCTTTTTTGGACATTGAGAGAAAAAAGGATTTTAGGATATGAAAACTGAGTTTTGACGTTCAAATGCTTTCCCAAGGGCATTCAAAGGGGAGTTATCAGTGGAAGGGGATCTTTAACTCTTGAGCAATAATAACCTCAACTTCTTGAACTCATTAGCCTGACTAGTAAGGGGTGAGTGCCTACAGCAACAGTATATTTTAAGAAACTTTTTATTAGGTAAAATTTCAAGCTTTTTATTAGGTAAAATTTCAAGCATCCTCCCAAATAAAGAGAAGATGAGTGTGAAGCTCCACATACCCAGCATTGAGCTTTAGCAGTTGGCAATCGCTTGCCCATCTCATTGGTCTGACCACCTACCTTTATTTCTGCTCATTCATTTTCAAGGAAATTTCAGAGCTTGTGCCATCTCACCTGTAAAAATTTTTAGTTTGCATTTCTAATTGATAACATTTTAAAACATAACTATGTGCCATTATCACACCTAATTATATATTTTTAATATATTGATTTTTTTTTGAGGGGGAGAGAGAGAGATTTGTTGTTCCACTTATTTATGCATTCACTGGTTACTTCTCATGTGTCCCGACCAGAGATCAAACCTACAGCCTTGGCATATCAGGATGATGCTCTAACCAACTGAGCTACCCGGCCAGGGCAACAATATATTTTTTTATTATCATCTAAGACCTGGCTTATGTTCAGATTTTCCCAATTGTCTTAAAGCTGTCCCTTTGCAGTTGATTTCTTCTAATCAGATTCCAAACAAGAGCCACACATAGCATTTGGCTATGTTTCTAAGTCCCTTTTATTTTGTAATAATCCTCTATCTGAACACTGATTTGTTGTAGAAATTGGGTGATGTGTCCCATAAAATGACCCACATTTTGGATTTGTCTTTTTGCTTTCCCTGAGTGTATTTAACTTATTTTAATTTTACTTGTTTCTTAATTTTCTAGAAGCTGCCTTGATGAGATTCAGGTTGAATTTTTTGGGGTAAGAAAACTTCATGCTTCCCAGTGGTCACATCACCAGGCACATAATGACACGGCCGTCCCATTCTTCTAGGCCGCATTAGTGGGTTCAGGTGGTGTCGGCCTGATTCCTCCATTTCCACCACCCTTTCACTGAGTGTCTTTATCTTCTATTTATGTTCATTCCTTATATTCCTTATTCCATTAGTAGCTGTAAAATAGTAATTAAATTAAAAACCATTCCTTCTGCATTTATTAGCTGGACTTCTATAAGGAACAACTTCCCCTCACAGACTATTTGGTTACTCCATAAATGTTTATACAGGGAAGGCAGGATACCTCCTTCCTTTCCTTATAAAATTTCAGA